GGAGTACTCCCTCCCCATAGATCACACAGTAGGGTATATGCTCTCCTGTAGTCATGAAAAATGATAAATGTATAAATAGCAATACAATGCATATACATTATACCGACCTTTAGTATTTAGTTTTGTCTTTGGTTTTGTCTTCGCTTTGTTTACTTCCGTATTTGAATCCCCTGGTGCAGTACCATGGTCTGTGAAAAAACAACAATGATTTACGCCATTTTTAGATAAATTCCTGCAAATACATAACGATGTTATTAAGATCATTTCAAAGCTACTTCTAAGTATATCATAGAAACCCAAATATAACACGGTTATTTTGTTTTATAAGGACCACAACATGCGAGTAATACATTATAAGCCTTCGGGAAAAAAATCGATCATGGCAGCCATCTTGGGGAAACAAAACCAAATGCCGTCGATCGTAGTAAGCGTTTTTTTTCTCCAGACAATTCGTGGCATTCACAACCAGGGATTGATGTAAATATTTCCTACCTCGAATGTTATGTCCATTTAGGAGATGGTTTTTACATCCTTGTTTAGTCTTGAAGAGCTTACAGCACACTGTGCATTTGTACTTTCCAGCATCGCCGTCGGCTTCACAGTTCACCTCGATGTAAACATCTAAAAAACGTAAATTTCGGCGATCGGCTCGTCCGACCTTAGATTTCCCGTCTTCTACAATATTTTCATCGTCGCTAAAATCACTGTCGCTAAAGTCGTAATCAGAAAAAACAGATGTAAATTCTTCGTCGTCGCTCTGGGACTCCTTCCAAACACACGCCATATTTTTCAAATAAGCTTTGCCTCTCTTGATTTACATAATCACGTCTCGTAGATTGCGAGTGTATAGGCAATTTACATGCGATTTGCATAGTCGCGGCTCGTGATTCACGAGATGTGATCTACATTTAGCTCAGCTCGGCAGAACGTTACGCAAATAAACTAATCTGGGAGCAAATAAACGTTACAGGATTCAAAACCACCTAACATCAAAGAAAATACCGCAGTTTCGTATCCCTTTACTGGAGGGCCTATGGTTTATATAAACCTGTGAATATACTATTTCAGTGATTGTGTGGGAATTATTTGTACTTCCCTACTGTTACGGTATTGTAGATGACCGCTTTGGTTGTGTATTATTTGAGAGCATACGTTGCATTACGATAGCCTTAGTATTTTACAGTTAAGCTAATGCATACTGTTGTATTTAGTAATCTTTTCAATTATAGTAACTTTGAAGTATTTCCTTTATTTACCTGTATTTAGTATCCGAGTGCTGATCTCTGTTGTACTAGTATATACTTCTATGTACTGAGGGAATACTCAGGCATTCATAGCCTTAGTACCTATTACGTAGTATCTATCTGCATTCAGTGTTTCTAGTTAGTAAATACTGTATTGTGTATGTGGTAGCCATTTGTATTGAGTAAGTTAGGATTACTGTGTATGCCATACATTCTCTTCAGTACTCTGGACTGATGTGTTGGCCTATATGGTTGTAGCACTTAGTGGCACTATACATTACTGTGCATAGATATTCCTGTTAGTCATTATAGTAACAACGTAATGAGTAGTATATTGTAATACATTTTCATAGCACATTACAGAATACTTGTAATTGTATTTTCTACTTTTTATTGAGACTTTTATTGAGAAATAACTGCGTTACGTGACACATTACTGTGTATTACTGTATCCAAGTAGCGATAACCACGATTGTGTTTTTGCTTGTTCAGCGTTAATACAACATTCTAACTTTACATGCAACACTGAGCTGGGTATTTTGTTATCGAACCCGAGTCCCCACGACCGCATTTAGCCCACTGCCCCGAAATATTACTTGTATCCTACCGTTACTGTGTGTGTAGCTTACAAATGCATATTGTGAAAATGGGAGACTTTTAAAAAGGAAATTTGTGAAATACAATTTGCAAATAAAAATCCTGGAGCCCCATATTTTAGATAGGCAACATTGAAAGACACCAGTTACGAGTTATAGAGTTATAAATGCTTTCTTTTGTCCAAGTTATTTAATGAATTCTATTACAGTGTCACATTTGGTGTATAGCTCACAATGATATTGGTTAGTGGTTTGTGTATAGATACACTTTACCAAGCCAAAAAGATTTGGTTTCATTTAGCTATCTTTGACATTTGTGGGGGTCCAATTCTAAAAAGGTTTGGAGCCCTATTGTTATTCTGATTTTCTTCATCTTCTTCTTCCACAGTATTTTCCTGATACCGTGATTAAGTGCTACTGAAAGGTTGCTTTTTCAGTGATGAATAATATGAAACCACGCATATACGAAACAGTCACGACAAGACCACAACTCAGCAAGTCTGCAACATTTTTATGACTGACTCAAAGCCTACCATACATGGCCTAAACTTTCACGGTGAAATGAATAACGATACGAACATTTCGATGATTCTCGACAGATGAAATACGTGCAATCCACTTACAATTCCGACTTTCCTCAGTCTATGGTTGCTGCCTTTGTAACACACCGTTCACAAAGCCTCACAGATCATTGATTCAGTGGGACAAATGTGTACGAGAAAAATGTTTGGGCTCGGCACAGGAAAGATACATGTGGTTCATCGATATAGTCACAAAGAGGGCGTTATTCAGCAACACGGGCGCGGCCTGGGTGTGTCCAAGGATTACCCAGGTACAGCGCTGAGGGCACTGTGCAATACAGTGTTATCAAAAGTTCATTCGTAGAAATTGAACAATAGTCATAATCAATCGTCGTAATTCAGAAATAGTTCTCTGTACAGTGGGACTCAAATTGATTACCAATCCCAACTCACAGTACAAGTGTTATTCAGCAGACAGTTTGAAAGTAGAAAGTTGAGAGGTGAGAGGTAGAATTACTGTACCCTATATCAGCATAGTTACAGCCGCCATCAGATGTTACCAGTCAGCGGTTCTTTTGATGAATGAGAACTGATGTCACCACAGAGTTACCAAAAGTTCAGGGTGAGATTCACCCACTCCCGTTGCAGAAGAAATCTTGAAATACAGCTGGAAACGTTGATTCTGGTCCGTTTTCGCTAAAACACAGTTCTCTGAGTTCCTCTTCTCATAAAATATCTGAATATGAGAACTACATCCAAACTAAATCCTGTTTTAAGCAGGAATACAACTGGTCCCCACAGAGCTGTTCTAAAACACTGTAGACACTCTGGTAACTATCTGCTGACTGACTCAAACTTGCATCTTTACTGGGGGTAACTCCACCCTTGAACGCACCCCAAAGGTCAAGGAGTCCACCATCTGATACTGATGGCGTACTATTCGACAGGTCCCTTTATGGAATGAAACACAGCACAGCCCATTGTTTCTTAAAAAAGTGTGAAAATTGCCTTGAATGTGTTTATAGCTTTTGAAATCTGGACTGTGGGTAATTATCAATAGTACAAAAATAAAAAAAAAGAAACCTGCATCGAATACACTAGTGTCACATGTCTAATAAGTTAACTTATTAATTTCTCAACTAATTAATTGTAACCACCTCAATTTCTTGTTAAGCTATTCTAAATAATTTCTGTGCTGATTAGTACTATGTAGCCATTAACTCGTTTGTAACAAATGATTTCATCTTCATCTTCAATTTGGTCCCCTATAGCTAGCAAGAAAGCTTCAGTACTCTGTAGAAGAAACTCACTTCGAACACAGTAATTCTGAAAGGGGTAAGCAACGCTCAATGACTCCTAATACTAATCACATACTACGGTTAATCTTCGAACATTAAATCTTTGCTAATTATACTCCTTGCCACACAATTGGATTTCCATGTAGTTTTAACTGAAGTTCACACACACACTAGCCATCAAAATACTTACCAGTTACTCTCTCCAACTGAGAGTTCTCGAGTACCAATAAACAAAAGTACCAGGTGTTATACGTACACTGACATGCACATGTACCAGCTATCATACACTGGGTCTATTGACTTACATTACATACTAAGTTAGAACCTGCGCATGTCTGCCAACGTGTAGGTGTGGTGGTTTTGGCTGCTCCGGGAAATCTTTCCTTTACAACACTTTGGGCACTAATTGGTTAACTTTAGCATAGAAAAGACGTGGATACTGCCTTGGGATACATATACTACGGTTCACGAGGGATGCCAACTGAAACCAGGGCAAGCGTGAAAGAAAAAGAAAAACTGAAAACGATGTCTGCGTCAACACCGTCAAGCTCACACAGATCGATTACGCAATACGTGGACAAATCAAAAAGTGGGCGGGACGGTGAGAGTGAGGAAGAGTTCAAACGCTTTATAAAGGAGGCTATCCTCCATATCGATGCAAATCTCTACAAATTAGTAAATGAACAGAAACGAAAAATGAATATGCTTTCTACGCCCTGAACAATAAGGTTACGCAACTTATTTCGAGAGTGAATGACCTTGAAAAACAAAACAAATTGTTGATGGCTGAAAACAATGAACTCAAAAAGAAGCAAAAAAACAAAAAAACAAACAGAAACGGTATTCGAAAAATTATAACTTGCACTTTAGAGGAATCGCAAAAACTGATAACGAGAACTGCACGGAAATCGTCGAAAATCTACTGATTGGTGTTTTCAAGATGGCGCCCGATGTTCCTCGTGTCGAAAATGCACATTGTGCTCGCAGTAAGAAAAATAAGAAGACACCAAACCACCAAATTGCTAAATTCTACAGCAGACAAATAAAAGAATCCGTGATTAGAAACGCAGGATCGCAGCTAAAGGAATCTCATGTTTATGTTACTCGCGATCTCATCAAAGAAGATTTTTAAGAAAAACAATCGTTCAAAGACGTAATGAAAACCGCGTATGAAGAAGGGAAGAAGCCGTCCTTCCGTGAAGGTAAATTATATATAGATGAATCGCTTTATAAACACCCTGATATTATATAATTATTAGACTTTTGGCTTGCACCACTTCTCAATGTGGGTAGTTTTGTGCATGTTACTTTGCTTTAGGTTATAGAATGTTTAAAGGTGAGCCGTGAAATTTATAAAAACAAAAACAAAAACAACAAGTTGTACGCGTGAGACCTGAAAGTTAATTCTGAAAAAAAAGAAAGCTGCACGTGTGAAACGCGATTTTTTTAAATATATATAAAAAAGGGAAATTTTTATCGCGGCCTTTTACCACTCATGTTAGTAGGTGTACATTGTCACCCATTGTCACCGTGTATTATTTAGGTTGCATAAGAGTGAAAGGGTGCTGTGTACTTTGTTAAATTACGTTGAGGTGCAACTTAGTCTTTTTCTGATAAACATGGCATTTATTGACTGTTTGTTACCTTTAAAATACCATATTGTGAATCGTAAATATTTACTTTTTTTTTAAATTTTTTGGAGCAGCAGCTTTTGTTTACTGTTATCCAGCTATTTTTTTTCTTTTTTTGAACTTGAGCTTTTATGCTTGCGTGTTTTATACGTTTTGTGTTTGTAGTACATGTATTCATTAAATGTTATTAGTTTAAATGTAAGGGGATTAAGAGATGCACAGAAGCGTAAGGCTATTTTTTTATGTTTGTACGAGGCAGAAAGCTGATATAATTTTACTGCAAGAAATCGATAGCAGTTTAGAGGATGAACACAAATGGAAGATTGACTGGGGAGGGGACATTTTCATTTCGCATGGAACTCGGGCAAGCTGTGGGACAGCAATTTTATCACACAAAAATACAACTATAAAACACTAAAATTGTCAAAGATACATCTGGTAGATTTATTTTTCTGGAAATAGATATTGATAGCTTTAAGGCAGTGATTGCAAATATATATAT